ACCGGCATAATATTCTAAGTCGATCTAGCTATATTCGTATCTGACTGAGTTAAAGTCACAATATTCGGAAAAAAAGTTATTTCTATACCTGCAACAGGGAAGCGAAATAGACCCATAGTTACTTTTGGGGATCTTCATATAATCACTTTCTGACTCTATTTATGCATGTCAGTCCGTCCGTCTGTCCATGTATTTTTGTGAACAAAATGCAGGTCACATTTATTATCCGATTGAGATGAAATTTTCCAATATCAGTGCAAATGACCTGAATTTTGGCACATCCAACGGAATGCAGCCTAGAAGCAAGTACATCAAATTTGGTGAATCACAAATAGCTATTGCTTCCATATATATGTTTCATCCGATTTGGGGTTTTAAGTCCTTCACATGCTTGGTCCGGTATACCTTTTGCTCCAATAAATATTTTTAATATAATCCTTATCGAAGTCATATCATGCACTATACAGCAATATTATTTGGTTTATATTCGGTATGATCTTCTTCACATTAACTCCCAATTATACCCTCCACCTTGGAATGGAGGGTATATTAACTTTGTCATTCCGTTTGTAACATCCCTAAATATTCGTCGTAGACCCCATAATGTATATATATTTTTATATTATAATTTGTACTGTGTTTAGGATGGCTGGTATTGAAAATGAGATATATCGGTCCACGTTTTGGTATAGTCCCCATATAACGGTACCTCCCGATATTCGGTATGTTGATGGTTTTTGTCAATTTCGTATTCGAAACCCCAAAAAAACTGTAACTCCCCTTATTCGGTATTTTTTATGATTATGGAGTATGTTTCAAATGGATTTTTCTTGAAATTCTGTGAATATCTTCCAAATTGTGGAGGTATTCAAAGTTCGGCCCGGACGGACTTAAACACGGACTGTTTACGTTTTGACGAAAACTCCCGTTTTTATACCCTCCACCATATAGTGTCACAAACGGAATGGCAAACTTAATGTACCCTAAGTTTGCCATTCCGTTTGTGACACCGTAAAATATACATTTAACATTTTGGGATTGAAAATGGACAGGTGTAGGTATTGCCCCATTATATAAGTACCTCCCTATACTCGGTATTTTGACAATTTAAAATACAGTTCCTAGTAGGTACTACAGCCTTTTACAGAAAATTGCTTCTGCAGGTGCTGTTCTTCGAATAGCCCCATACAACAGAAGAACCGGAAGAACTGTATTCGGTATTTTGATGATCTTAGCTACATTATTCACCGGAATGATTTCAAATTTCTTTTTTGAACTTCGTAATAGATACTACAGCCTGTGACATAAAATTGTCTATGAATGTCTTCCTATAGGCCCCATATATCGGTATTTTATAATTATGCATGGAATTTTGGAGTTCGGTACAGAAGTTTCCCGTTACAGACTCCAACAAAAGAGACTGCTGTTTTAAAATTTGAAATTAGCAGAGTCCTATTTTATTTTTTTATCTCTAATTTTGTCTCCAACTTGCAAACACATTACAACAATTGTCCAGCACACCCATGCCAAAAATGCAATGTAACATTCTATGTGTGCGTATTTTTTGTAAATATTTACCTCCACAAAAGCTTTGCCATTTTATATATTTTTTTATTAACAAACCCAGTCAAGGCAAGGCGGATAATTAAGAAAATGTTAAACTAAACAGCTTAACAGCAACAAAAACAACAACAACTACCACAACAAGCAAATCGTAGTAAAATTGTAATGTTGAATAAAAATGAATGAAACTTTTCAAAGATTTGTGAACAAGCGAACTAGTGGGGAACCCACAGGTAGGTGGGTAGTTGGTGGAGGTATTGGCAGTGTACTTTGAAGACCGATTAAGTTACAACTCTTTCTATAAACAATGGGCTTGTTGTTGTCGTTGGTGTGTAACTACTTTGTTAGCTACTTATTGACATTAATTGTCTTTAAGCTAATTTGCACAGTGGCTAAATGAGGAAATGAGAAAAATTTATATTTTTCTTTTAACGATTAGATTTTTCCAATCATTTATATGTCAATTTCCATGCTTTTCAAAAATGTTCTCTTCACAAAAAATAACTGCATGAAATCTCATTTAGAAACTTTCCCAAATCAGTTTCATCCAGGATATGTATACCGCAAGAATCATTCGGGGATATTCCGGAAGTTTTCAGAACAAGATTTTGCCTAAAGTTTACGGTCATTTAAATTCAGAAAAACTCCAAAAAAAGTTCAATGTCTCTTCCTCTAAATATGAACTCCTACATATATTTTTCAGAAATAATATTTAGCAAACACCTCTAATATAAACCTTATCTCTTGGAATCAATGCCAAAGCTGAAATGGAATTATTTCCAAAAAATGTTACATTCATCATTATATGCGAACTTAAGGCTATATTAAACATTATATTGAAGTCGTATCTAAACTGACATATTCTTCTTTTTTTCCAAGTGAATTTGTATAGCATACTTTTAGGTGATACTAAGAAACTTTAAACTGAACAGAACCGTTTTCTAGTACAGCATCGAATAATATAGTAATTATATAAGTCAAGTGTAAGTATAAATATATAATATAGTAAACGTTGCACATAGTATAGTCTTTCATTTAAGTTAAAAAATAATTTGGATTGCTTAAAAGTATGCTATCTTTTGTGTAAAATGTCACTTAACATATGACTCTAACATAATCGGACCTTAATTAATAGTGAGCCCAAAATGTCAAGTTTCAGCGAACATTTTTCTACACAGAATATACACCGGTTTGGCAGAACTTCACATCGAAGAAATTTAAATTAAAATCGCTTTTACTCGACTTAGTTTGGAAAAGGTAAGATTTCAAAATCAAATGTTTGACTGATTGTTCAGATTAGAAATATTGAAAAATCTAATTTTTCTTTGAAGACCAAAAAAAAAAAAACGAAAAACTGCTCGAGCATAGAGTGAGAGAGAATCTGCCGAGAGAATCTGCAAATCTGTGTATAAAAGGCAAAAGCTGTTTTCGACTTTGTATTCGTCAGCCGGCAAAAACCCGTAATGCTAAGTTTTATTTCATCTGCTTGGGAATTATGGCCGGAAGCTTTAAAATATTGCATATCATGATATACCGTTATATGGTACTTCTTGATATACCGTTATATACGTTAGTTTTGCGGAGGTAATTTGGGTATAATTAGAAACTTATGTTTTAAATGACAGCTGATTAGTTTTGAAATCGTTGCTGAAGACCCTAAAATAACGAAAATTGTAGTGAATAGCTTTATAAGGGACCGATATGACTCGACAAGGCTCATTATACCATTAGCAATACAGCTATGATATATACCCTCTATATCATTTGATAGGTCAAAATATGCCTCGTCGAAACGACGGTTTAAGACCCTTGGTCCCTTTGGAGGAAATCAGTTTCTGAACATTTGGAGTCGATCTAGCTATATCCGTCCGTTTGTCTGTCTGTCCCAAATGATCGTAACTTCGCACATTGTTATATTTTTACGAAACGTAGGCTTCGGAGGTGGGTCAAATCCACTCACTCCTTATGGTACCTTCGCCATACAGAATACGCAAATTTTTATGAAAAAAAAAATAATTTAAAATTTTGATTAAAAACTATTAACATTTGAAATAATTGCCGATTGATTTAACCTTTGCAGATCCAATAATTTTCCCCTCCCCCGCAAAAGTTCGAAATTTTCAAGAAATATATGTATATTTATATCATATAAGGTGGAGGAAGTAGTCGATATAGTCAGAAACCGTCACATCGTAATATTTATAAGAGACTTGGGTCAGGTGCGCAAATGGTCAATGCTGGCCCACTCCTTCGGGTAAGGTCAACATTTTGAATAATCATAAAACTTGCAAAATAATCCACAGATATTCAGATATTTCCAACAGCACTTTATATAGGGATTTATCGGTTCACTCTCTCTTGAACTTTCTCCGCAAAGGGTTTTATTTTTTTAAGATCTTTGTCTCAAAATAACCGACAACATTGACATTTTCTGATAGCTCCTAACACAAAAGTTTAGAATTTTCGAAAAAGCCCAACATTGATATGTGGTAATATTTATATTAGATCTGGGTCTGAATCGAAAATGGAAAATATTGGCGTCCCGTTCCTCTTTGAAATGATTCCTCGAATTTCTTTAAGCATCGCATCTGGTATAAAGACCGGATATTTTGGTCCACTCGTTCTCATACCCCCCTAACAAAGATTAATCACGAATAGATGTTCATATGCTGAAGCATGTCGTCAAACCGATATATGTTTTCTAAATGGTTAATGATAAACTTTCTACAAGTATTACACATAAATATAGTACATTTCAAATCTTCCCCAAAGATAGAGGTCCACCCTAATATTTATTTATTTTGACAAAATTATAGCACATTTCTGTTATGGCCCAGTTCGTGCCAAAAAAAAAATGTTCGCAATAAACCCGTGTGCACTTTGTTCGATAAACTTGAAGCATCTACAAACGTCTGTCTGTCGATTTATGTATCTACGGTCTCTCAATACGAGCGATCGAACAAATGTAAACAAAAAATTGAGTGGTGTTGACTATGTTGTTGTTGTTGGTGTTCTGCTCTGGTCGTTCATAACGCCGATGAAGATGATGATGATCCATGTCTATGACCACTTGCACACCGACTGACTAGTGAATACTAAATAAATTAAAAACAAATAACAACAATTGTCTTGTGGGACAAGTACATTTAGTATTTTTTAATAAAAAAATAAAAACACACACATTTTCCAACATCTCCATGGCTAACAATACCAACAAAAACGACAATTATGCTAAACACAATTTTTGAATTTCCACCGACTTGACTTGTTGGCGATTCTCAAATCAAATGCACGTTTCCCAAATGCCAAACTAAAATAAGTGATGAACACATCTCGTCGGGTGGTTGGTGGACGGACTCTATGGTGGTCATAATAGTCTTTTACCAACAACAGCAACAAATTTGCGGCCGAACGGTTGGGGAATGTTGGGTACTTACCGCATAGATTACATCCCATTTGATGCTAAAGAATTTCAGCGTTTTCGTTGAGCAGGCCATTTTTCCGGATTCCTCACGTTTTCTTGAGACAGAGAGAGAGAGTATCAACTTTTTTTGGTAAAACAAGAAAAATGGAAAAAATTTAATTATTTTTCGGCAAATTAATGGCACAGGGACGTTATTTAATTATTAGTTGTTATTTATTTTAATTAGATTCTTGTTATGTTTATTATTGTTTTCCTATTTATTTTTATTTCATTTTTTTTTGCGCCACACACCTGGGTAAACAAAATTTTATGTCTCAACTATTTTCGCTATTTTTTATTAAAATTAATTTTTCACTTTTCGAAGATCTTTGCAAAATTTATATTTTATGTTTGTTTTTCGTTTGTTGTTCTTGTCGTTTTTCCGTAAAATATATAAAATTTAAAAATAATCTCCAACAGCCAGCAAAAATTGACTTTGACTAGAATCGCGTTTTTTTTTTTTTCAATTTGGTGCCGCCTTCGATTTTGTCTTTTTAGCCGTAACGCTCGCTCGCCGCATGCAAATAAACTAAGAAAAAAGTTTACAATAGTTCATCGTTTGGAGGCAATTTCTTAGAGCGTTTTCTTTTCGCACTAAAAGTTCGTCGTAGACGGCAACGAACACACAACGCCATGGAAATGAAACAAACGACAAAGCAGAAAAAAGCTCAAGCCGAAAGCTTTGTGCCAAATGTATTGTGGTGATATTAGATGTCGGTCGTTGGTTTTGAAAACAAATTTGAATTGTTAGTTTGGTCATCGCGGAACTCGACTCCACAGAGAGGTGAAATAGAAAACGAACATTGCGCCACATTTCTTTGAGGGTATTCATGGGTACATCTACAATTAAATATTTTATTTAGTGACCTTAATTAAACCTTCATTACGAGGTGGAAAAACTGCGGGGCCAATAATGTACTACCTTAGAACACTATAATATATTGAAAGCCCCTTATGTCCAAATCTATTTTTATAAATTTCGTTTTTGAAATAATGGCATACAGCCGTGCACAAAGGTTACCTTTGAATTTTTAACTGGGCCATTTGCCCCACAGGGTGAGATGAAAGAACTCAACCAACTTCAGACTGCTGTCATCTACGCAACTCTTCCGACAGCTGTTAAAATTATTCCATTGACAGCTCATTATATTGTTTACAAGCGTACAAAAGCATTTTGGTGAGAATTTTCCAGAAAAAAAGTTATTCGTGATGGAATTTAAGCGAGATAGTGTGATTTCTTTATATTTGGCAGAAAAGCCACAAGTGGCTATCGTTAAAGCACTCCAGCATTTAAATGAGAATAACGTTTTTGTGTCTCGTACCATCACTCGTTACCGACGTCAAGAAGGTGAACGGAAGAAAACTGCAACATCAGAAGAAGTAGTTCGACAAGTAAAGAAGCGACTTGATCGAAACCCGCGTCGCAAAATGCCTCTTGAGCTGAACATATCGCAATATTCCAGTTGACAAATATCGAAAAATGAGCTGGGGTAAAGCCATTGAAATTCCAAAAAAGCGCAAGAACTTACATCGCAACATAAAGAAAATAGACTCAAAAGAGCTAAAGAGTTGCTTCGCTTGGCCGAAAGTGGTGAACTGCCGAATTTGGTTTTCTCCGATATGAAAACATGGTGATGGTGTGGGCGCCATAACAGCCGATAGTCGCTCTCCGCTCGTATTAATCGACCGTGGCATCAGATTAAATGCCGAACATTATCGCGAAAATATTCTGGAGGGTGTATTAAAGCCTTGGGCCCGCAAACATTTCGCCGCAGACCTTGAACATTCCAACAGGACTCAGCATCATCGCACTCAGCACACGCCACCCAAGAATGGTTACAAAATGAGGTTCCTCGCTTCATTTCCACACAATGGCCACCAAAAAACTCCGGATACCAATCCAATCTATTGTGTCTGAAGTATTTTGGAAAGCAAGGTTGGCACTAAAAAATACCAATGTGTCAATCACCTCAAGCAAGCGCTTCGCCGGAATTGGGCCAAAATACTGCAGAGCAACATTCGGGCAGCGTGTGACGGTTTCATTGGCCGTTTGAAGGCCATAATTCGTGCCAAAGTTGACCAATTCGAACAAATCTAAACTTATTCTAAAATTTGATGCTATTTCCGACATTTTTTGCTTCCATTCAAAAAAATTTATAAAACTAAAGTTAAAAATTCTGGCGTTTGACTTTTTTGCAGTCGGACGCTCATCGTTGAATCGACATAGAATTTTTTACTGATCAAGAATACAAACGGAATGACAAACTTAATACATTGAAAATTTCCAAAATTTATGTTGAAGAACTTTTTGCGAAAGCAGAGAAATCATTTTCTGAGAAATTAATTGAGAAATGTTCTTGGGGTAGAACTCACGCTGAAATCAGCATAAAAGGGCCAAAAATAACGACCGCAATTTGGAGTAAGTATATTGAACTCGTTGACCCGGTAAATGTTGCCTTGTCCATCGATTTTTCATAGAGGTTCCTGCGATACGATTTAAATATTTTTATATCCCTTACAATAGTATGAAGGGTATACTAAAATACATATGTATTATTAGACGATTGTTGTAAAACTCCTAATATTTTATTGAAATAATTATGCCAAAAATACTAGTTCTATTATTGGGAAATGGATGCGAAATAAAACACCAAAAACATCGACAGTAATAACATGGAGGAATTCCTTGTGATATCTATATCTTTAAATTATATTATGACAAAATTATATTTTTATCTGTCGGTGGTTCGAAAAATTAAGGTTCAACTGCCATGTCCCAGTAGTCGGCACTTTTAATTTTTAAGCCCAAATAAATGAAACTATTATAACTAAATGTATTTTGTTTACTTCAAATATATTGTCAGCTATCTTTGTGTACAATTTCGCTAAGAAAAGATGATTTATTCTAATAAAAGTTAAATTTTTGTCTGTGAAGGTCCTCAACAATCCCTATTCTTAAGAAAAGTACAATAAAGACGTCGAATCAGTTTAACTAAACAAAAATATTATATTTTAATGAATTAATTTATTATTGTTCACTATTCTTACAAAAAAATTGGTATGCCGACTGTCGGAACATGCCATACCGACAATTAGCAAGTGGTGCCGACTACTGGCAAAAAAGCATTGTTTTAATAAAACAAGTAAGCAAAGACTACAGTCGAGCGGGGCCGACCGTTGAATACCCTACAACACTATAATAAACGATACAGTTTATATAGGCGCGATACTCGAAAGAATTCCACAAAATATTGTGACAAATATTAAAAGAAAACCATCAGGTTTCGTTCTCTAATTTTCGAATAATAGCAACTTTAACTAATTTGCTCATTTCCAATTTATTGGTAGATGTTGCACGTAAATGGTCTTCCTAGATCTGGAACCAATATTTCCCAAAGACCTATAATCTCTCAGAAGTGGCAAAAGATTAACATTTATTATTGGTTTTTGACTGAAACGCATCTATATGAGATACAAACATTTGACTATATTCTTCAACGAAATAGTCAGAAGTGCGTCTTTCCTGCATTTGTGAATTCTCCAAAAAGTCACTGGAATGAACATTTTCGTATTTTGTCTACAAAAAACTTTTTCACACATTGAATATTTTTGGATGGCCATCCGAAACTGCTTGGCTTTTGCAATGTCCGGTAACCCCCATTCAAATATGCGTAAGGATCGGGCGATAATTATGACCTGCTGACAATTTTGCAGTTTTTTGGTCCATTTCAACCCCTAAATATATAGCGATCATCTCTAAAAAGAGTAGACATCTATTCTGACCCTCATCTTATCCCCATGTTAAATTTCGTAAGGATCGGGCCATAAATGCGATCTGTATATGATATCCTGATATCCTAACTACTTAGTTTTGTTAGCTGTAGAAATATTACCAAATGTTTATTGAAAATGAAAATATGCCAAAAATATGACAAAATTGAAGAAAATATGAGAAAATTTTACAAAATCAATATTTTCATCATTAGAGAGATATTTTTATGCGATTTTTTTAGACGTTTTTTCTTTCCTGCCAAGAGGCCATTCTGAATTTATGAGAACTGTTGAAATCAGTTCAGCAGTTCTCGACATATAAGAGATCTTTCAAGCATATCTTCTTTGATAGACATATATATAGCACATATTTTGCTATATATCCGATTTGTTGGATGTTAACATGAATGTAAAGATCAGAAGTAACCTTGTCATGGCTTTGTGATTTCGCCGGGATTTCAAATATTCGCGGTTTTATGAAAAAAAAAAATTTTTTCAACAAAAAAGATATGGCCTATTTTACCCGCTAAATATTATTCGATGACCACCCAAATTGGTAGGCTTCTTCCCCGCCCTAAACTCTAGCTGCATGCGAAATTCCGCGTCGATTGGTCTATAATTGCGACCTGTATAGCTACTGCAAAATCCGACATTTTTTCAGTATTTGGTCCATTTCAACCCCTAAACATTTGGCGATCATCTCCAAAAGAAATAGGGTTCTATTCTGAACCTAGCCCCACCTCCATTCTAAATTTCGTGAAGATCGGGCCATAATTGCGACCTGTAGAGTGATTACAAATTAACATGGACAGACGGACAGACGGACAGACGGACAGACGGACGGACGGACATACATAGCTAGATCGACTCAACTCGGCGAGCTAGGAAGATCCATATATACTTTCCTATGTGGGAAATCAATATTTCGTGGTGTTACATAATTTTTGGCCCAATCAAACTTATAATACCCCCAACACATAGTGTTGTAGGGTATAACTACAAATTTATGAAATTTAATAACAATATATTAAAACTTTATTTATTATTACAAAAACTATACAAAATTTCGAATCTGAATAAATTAACTTTGTAATAATTGAAAAGTTCCACTCAGAATGGTGAGGGATTAAAAACGCGAAAATCCTCAAAAGTGCCGACTACTGGTACACTTACCCTAAATCGTTTTTGATTCATTCTCGTTTATCAATCTCGAGAACCTCTCAACGACGATATCGTGTTACATAGTAATGGCGTGCAAACTGTAATTACCCAGGAAAAGGTTTACATCAAAAAATGCACGACTGTTGGCTTGTCACAACTTGGAATGAGATGCAAGGTGTAATTCTAATGCTTCACTAAATGTAATAACCTTAAATGCAAATGTATTATTTTTTATGGAAAAGCCGCTCGGATTAGAATAACATCCAAAAGTAGACAATAATTAAAAGATATTCTAATTGTTCAAATAAGCGAGAAAGTTATTGTGTTCTAAAAAATAGTTCGTCAATTTCATATGTAATACTACTGATGTGATCGATTTTGTGATAATTTGGAAAACTATGGTGTACATCTAGTTAATATTTTAGCAATAAATGTATTAATTTGACGAAAAAAATACATATGCAAATGATGTGTATTTTTAAAATATTTAGTAAACTTAGTAGAGGGTAATTTATTAAGAGGTAAAGGAAAATACACAGAATTCGGAAAATGCATTCAATTCCTTTCGGATAATATGGTCCATACAATTAAATGTTTGAAGATTATTTAAAGCAATG